TAATTCGATTCCTTACTGAATTCTGCGCAACATGTTTATGTGTTGTTGTTGTTTTTTTATATATAATTTATAATTTGAATACATCATTTTATAAAAAGTAAATGCTTGAATTAAATAAATCCGTAAAATAGTCTTTATTTCAGTTATTGGATGTTACAATTTTGGACAACCATCAATTCTGAGAGGGGTTCCCATGGTACAACAAAAGGCCCAAAGGGGTACACAAGTCAAAAAAGGTTGGAAAACACTGTAATACACCATGTCACAAAGCTCAAATAATATCAAACCTCTTTATTTAAAATTCTCCACATTCATTTGATATAAATCCAACAGAAGATGTCTGGGATACGGAGAGGAAAGACTTTGACATCTAACAAGCAGGAACCGAATCTTAGGAAGGTTCTGATAGCCTGTTTGGTTTTTGCCACAAAGAAATAAGTCAGTTTTGCAAACTGAACAAGTCCCAGTCTTGGCAAAGTGTTCCACGGGTTCCAGAGTGTGTATTTTAATGGAACCGGCAATCCTTTCATGTTTGTTTTCTGATAACCTAAAAGGAAACAAATGCAAGCTAATGAACCATTGAACAGGTCTTCTAGGTGGAGTGTTGTTTATAATCTGTCCACTTTGTTGACTGGGCTGTATAGAGCACATATCTTCTCAGAGGCATCATGGTTTCCCGGGCTGTGAACAAATATGCTTTGTAATTATAAAATGCTATCATTATAAGACTTTAATTTAGAATAACTGGATTTAGAAGAACAAAACCCTTTCTGAACCAACCCAGGCATCTTCTTGACCATGACCACTGAATACTCCACATCATCCTCCTCCTCCTTATGTTGAGGTGTTTTGGGTTCAGCTGGAATAAAGTTAGAATAGACAGGTTCCTCTTGTTTGTTAGAGAAAGACACAGCAGCATAGCAAAGGTCATCTTGATCTGTTGAATTTCCAAGAGCTGTAGTTGATGGAGTCTCCAGCTGTCGGCTAAAATTCTGCTGAGGAGTAAAGATACAGCAAACATAAGAGCAAAATAATGTTGCTTATCGTATAATGATATTTAAATATTTGATATCTCACTATCTGACAGACTGAGGAAAGAACTGATCTATGATTAGATGAAGACAGACTAACACCAGAGCTCTTTTTCCGGTTTTCACCCGAACTCCCTCTGATCTCAGAGGCTGGCCTTGAAGCCATCTTTTTCCTGGAAATTTGAGAATAGGAAATAAATAAGCAAAACAAAGAATCACATGATATCTCACAAAGATAGTAAACAGCTTGAAGAAGTAAAAGGGATGCACTCACCTAAAAATGAAAAAGGTAACCACAAACAGACCAACCAGGAGTAAAAATGTGATGGATCCAGCAATAGCAGATGTAGCTGAACCTGAGAAAAGGGGATAAAATATTTATTTAAGTCCTTAAAATACTCACAGAAATTAAGACATTTTAAGAATTATACGCTGGTGGACAGAAAAAGAGCCAAACAGGTAAAGAAATATGACTGGTCTATTCGTAAACACAATCATTATTTATTTATTTATTTATTCATTTATTTATTTATTTATTTATTTATTTTAACAGTATACTGTCTGGCGATGTGGCAATAAGAATAATTGTCTTGATGCCAAAAAGTGGAGCAGTACGGCTATCGCCATAGTGTCCCGCCTGATTGATTTGCTCTCACCCACCATCAAAAAATTTAAACGAAAAAATTCTAATAAGTTAGGAAGTTGGCAGTAGCATCTTTTAATGTCAATGTGTTGTGAGAAAAAAGGCCCAAAAAGAGAAAAAAGAAAAAAAATCATCCAGTGTGAAAATACTTTTTCTCTTTATTGTCAAGGACTGAGATGTTCAGCTTCGTACCCCTTTCAAAACAGACATGACTGATTCCCAACTGATTTAAATAGTTTTAGAAGCTTGTGGTATTCTAAACAAGATGAAGATCGATCACTTTAAGATATACTATAAAGTAAATTTAAATATATTCACAGGCATTCAAACACATGGTTAAATCAAAACAAAACTGAATTATAAGACTTCCATGGTTTATTTCAGGAAGATCACCTTCAGGCTAAACATTACTTCAGTTTAACCAAGAGTAATGCAAAAAGTCAGATTTCTGTTTACAATAAATGTATTTATAGTTATTCATCACATTAGGGGAGTGTTAGCCTAGTAGAGCAGTGCGCTTGTGTTCTGAGAGGGCTGAAAGTACCCAGTTCGAACCCCACAGTCTCTGCACTGGGTTCCTAAGCAAAACACTTAGCCCCTCACTGCTCCCCGGGTGCTGCACCATGGCAGCCCACTGATCCCCAAGGGGATGGGTTAAATGTGGAGGTAAATTTCTCCATTATGAGATTAATAAAGTTCAATGATTATTATTATTAAATTAACTTACTTGAAACCACAATCAGTTGTAGGGTGGAGTTATGCTGCCCCCTGCTGTTTCTGGCCTCACAGTAATAATTTCCACCATCTTCATGTCTGATGTCAACAACGGTCAGCATTGGTCCATCTGCTGCTGGTGAAGCTGTGTTCTCTTTGTA